GAAAAAATTCAACAAATCTTATCTCAAACGTAACTATTCAAACGACTTTTTTCCTAGTTTAAAAATTAAATTATCAACCAACCGTTTGAAAAATTGATACAACTATAACACACTATTAAAATACTATGTATTATATAATCCTTAATTTTTTTAGACTGTGTTATATTTTTAAGAAGAAAAAAAAAGAATTTAGAAACAAAAGTAAAAATCAGTGTAAACCAACCCAAAAAGTAAAAATTAAAGATTAGTTGTTGGCTTAAAGAGAGGGGTTAAGTAGTAATACTCACAAATGGGACATTCTTGATTTGGAAAGAACCAAGAAGAGGGTCATCGGGTAACAGATCGGAGACGACGACGGAGATCGGAGCAAGAGGACAACCTAAAACGCCGAGCAAGAGCCTCAAGTCTTGTCCCTTAGCCGCCACGTCATAGCTGTTGCAAAGTGGTTGGTCTGAAGGAGATGACATATTTCCAGAAATACCCTTGTGAACCTTAAACCATTCTCTAATCGCTTCCCATGAGCTCTCCTTTTTGGATCTTTCGTCTTGCATGTCTGGATCTGGACCTTCCATTAATGGAGTTAGGGTTTGTGGTGGTGTTCCCCATCTTTGTTTCCTCCAATATGATTTTGAGTTGCTCATTATGGTCTAATGATGATATGAAACAGTGAATGATGAGTGTGATGTTTCTGGGTTTTGGGTTTGAATATCTAATGGAATGGTTTTGTAAATGGAAAGAGATTATTGGCATATTTATATATATATAGAGAAATGTTGCATATATGTGTGTCTGTAGAGAGAGACAAAAGGGACATTTTATCAGTCTAGAGCGGTCCCATAAATTTGACATTATATATTTTATATTCATCGAAACAAGCTTATAGTTAGTTCGTATATATGTAGATAATAAATTAAACAGTTCGGATATTTTTAAGGTTGATTTAATAATTTATATAGTTATTCGATTTAATGTTTTGATTTGATTCGTAAACTGCTTGATAATTCTACGACTATGCGTAATCATTTATTGAGATAGATCTGCGACAAGAATGACTTTTTAGGATGATCTTGTGTTGTCATTAATTGTAGTCTAATGACTCTAAGTTTTAATTTGTATGATTGTGTCATTTTGTAGTTTGAACAAATCAGAGTTATGCTACAAAATATAGTTTTTCTATCTCTTTTTTTCGGGAAACATTTTTTTCTGTTGTTGAAGAGATAATGTATCTATGATTAGTCATACGTGGAAAGGAAATGTGGAACAACGACTAATAACATGGAATAAAATCCGAGTCATGTGAATAGATCCGATCCGTGCAGCTTCTTTTTGTACACTATGGGCTCTCCTTTTGAGTCTTCGATCACACACTTTTTTGGTCCTTTAAATTTGAATTTTATATCATTTAAACCCGATTAGCATATGATCTTTATCTTGTTCTTTCGAAGATATCAATGTGCTAATCATTTAATTTAATTCTAATTACGATCTCTAGGTATAATCTTTCTTGGAAAATGACACCACAACCAGGGCTATTACTATTGATTAATGACATTCTACTATTTTTATCAAATAAGATGTTGTGTCTTTTGATAAAGGTCCCATACAAAAGATAATTGCATACAATTTTTATCTTTTGAATTTCCTTTTATTCTCCGGATGTCTTGGGATTCGAACTCACTAAAATTCGTGACCACAATAATTCCCCATAATATTCATGCATATGCATTTGTTTGAGATTATCTGAAAATGTAGATTCAACACACATCAAAATTCTTACCTTTAGAACTCCCCACTACACATAAATAAAAATAAATACTTCTTGTGTCAAAATATGCATTTTCAACGCAAGGTGGCAAGTCACTAGTGAGAGTGGTGGCGGTAGATGTAGGTAGATAATCTTATAAGCCAAGCTTATAAATTACAATAATTGATTTCAATACTCAATTTTATAGTCCCTTTTCTTTATTATTTATTCATTTTATATATTTATCTAGTTTCTTGGCGAGATGTTATAGCTATAAAAAAAAAGAGAAAAAAGATGTTAAGACTTGAGAGTTAAAGTTTCACCCATTCTCTGCAACATGTGGGAGCATAACATGTCATGAGTCATGAA